AACATAGTTACTGGGGAACAAAGGTACTGTGTAACATAGGTACTGTGTAACATAGGTACTGTGTAACATAGGTACTGGAGAACATAGTTACTATGTAACATAGTTACTGTGTAGCATAGTTACTGGGGAACAAAGGTACTTGGGAACGTAGGTACTGGAGAACATAGTTACTGTGTAACATAGTTACTGTGTAACATAGTTACTGGGGAACAAAGGTACTGTGTAACATAGGTACTGTGTAACATAGGTACTGTGTAACATAGGTACTGTGTAACATAGTTACTGTGGAACATAGGTACTGGAGAACAAAGGTACTTGGGAACACAGGTATTGGAGAACATGCATACAGAAGAACAAAAATACTGGGGAACATAGGTACCATGAAACATAGGTACTAGGGAATATGGGTACCAGCGAATATAAATACTGGGGAAATTAGGCAATTGGAAATTATTAACAGACCAAAGAATTCATTTTTAAATGTAAGTTTAGCAACTTGTCTGATAAAGTTTATACTGCAATGAGATGTTAAATAAAATGCTATTACAAGTACTGACACAGGAGATAAACCCAAATTAATGTTTTTTTTAATTTATTTACATGTAACTTTTTAAATAATACATTGTACTTGCTGAATCTCTCTCTGTTTAAAGCAAAAGACTGCAATTGATCACAAAGTTATATAAGACTATCTAAAATTCAGTTAGTCAGTCAATAAAATTCCTTCAATATTTAGTGAAGTTATCCTTCACTGTAATCGTGTGAATACATGCTCCAACTGGAGGCACATAATATAAAACATATCACCGTGGTAATGGGTCAACGTGTGGTCACACAAACATACGTCATTCAAAGACTAGACCTTCTCATTTCACAGCTGTTTTATGCAGCCTACATGGACTGCGAAGGTTGTGGTCTACGTGGGCTGCAACCTCTCAACTGAAACAAAGGTTGTGTTACTGTGGGGGAACAAACATCGTATACACACAGAGGTGAACATGGTTAACAAAAAAGTTAGCTTCGCTAAGGCAAGTCTGCTAGCTTAAAAAATTGCTTCACAAATGCTAAACCACTAAACAGGTAAAAAAAAACTAGTGGTAGTTAACACCGACTGATAACTACCATCATTTAAACACAGACTTTGTCCACAGAAACATTAGAATCTTGGCTAAAAGCTCGTGAACCATTTTACATCCACCAAAAAGTTGAAACCACAAAACGTTGAACCGACTTTGTCTCATTCCAGTTGACGACTAACACAGGTGGACACACAAAATGTTAGAAATGTTACACAAACATTAGGGTTGCCAACAAAGCCACTCCAAAATACAATGACAGCTCTGCCGGGGGCAGGGCCTAATGACATAATGCATCAATTATGACATCACCACACAATATTTCTTATTTCCCCAACATTTGAGTAACATCCACCTAAACTGGAGTTTAATTAACACATTGTTTATTCATTCTTTTTTTTTTTTTACAACTTTTTTGATCTGATTCCAGGCTGCAGTCAGACACTAGAATTTGGCTGAAAATACGGTACATTCAGGCTAATTATGGTCAGCTGGCAACCCTAATGTATACACAACGTATATTTTCAGTTATTGTATTTATAACAGTCAACAGTATATACAGCGGGTAAAA